AAATCTTCAGCATGCTTGAGACTATCTGCCTATTTGATATGTACACAATGAGACATTGTTTTCTAGCTTATACAATATAATACTCAGAGGCGGACAGTAACTAAGTACATTTATAAAAATCTGTCTTTACAACTTTTACTTGTAATGGAGTAATATTTGACAAGCAGTATCTGTACTTTCACTCAAGTAATGGAGTTGAGTACTTTGTCTGCCTCTGAATACTCATGACTGACCCAAAACCTGATTTTAGTGCTTAAATATGAATTCCAAATAGCAGAAATTCAAATGAATCATTTAAAAAATCACAAGTTTACCAAATTATTGTGAAAATAAATGTGCTCACACTATAAGCCACACAGTTGACACATTTTAACAAGATCACGACAACCCAAGCTGGCCTCTTATCGCTTATATAACACACTTTTAAACATTTCTACAGACGTCATTTTGTGACATCACTTCGCAAAAATCCCTTCAATTAAAATACAACAAACCTTCAGTTCAACTTTGAGAAATGTATTTTGTATAATTTAATCTTTGGGCGATTTTATACATGACTTGATGTATCATAAAAATGAGTCAACTGAAATACTGTGACTAGTTTCTTGATAAGACAGTGGCGGGAGGGGGTGGAGAGAGGGAGAGAGATAGAGAGAGACGCGGCAGGAGCAAGCTTTTCAGACAGGAATTAGTTTGCCCTTCCCCCATCTCTCTTAGCACTACTCACTCAAGCAAACAGCCATCACTGCACCACTCATTTCTGTATTTCTGTAACGCATCCTGCTGACTGGAAACTTGCCTGCTATTTATTTCCATTCACTAGGCCAAAGAGTCCAACACATACCGTATAAATATATATATATATATATATATATAAAAAAATCGTTTTTTTTTTTTTCTCAATCAATATGACTCACGAGTATAGCCTGAAGACACAGGCTAACTGTGGCCGACTCAAATGGGTAGATAATATTAAAGCAATGAAATGAGCAAGTGTTAATTTTTCAGTGGGACAGAAAAGTTAGCTGATTAATATCTGGAATTACATTCCATAGTAAGAAATTTAAACATCAATTCCACAGCCGTCACTTTCCAGATCAATAGTCACATTACATCTTGTTAAAGGCTACTTGATAAATATTTGAACAGTACATAATTTAGCATAACATAATATAGGAATGATAAATATATGGGGCTTTCAGATGCATAAAACACATAAAAGATGCACAAGTTACCCATTACTGGAGACCTCTCATTTAATTTGGCATTGAGAAGCTTTCGGCTTATGAAGACGTAGCCACAAGGACAGGATTTACAAGCCACAGGAATCTGAGAGAAACAGAAAGAGAGAAAGAGAACTCAATGAACTTCAGTACACACTGAAATGTATATAATGACTGACTAAATATTTCACAACACTTGAGGAAGAGCACTTCAATATTAGGCATTTACAAAGGGGTAAATAAATATGGAGTGCCTTATAAAGACAACACTGATGTGTCCTTTGACTGGGGAAAAAATGACACTGACTCCACAGTAAACAGGAAACAATACCCTGATCGTTTTCTGCAGCTAAACTGATACAGTGACACAAAATACAGTCTTATGAAATGGTCTGCAATGACGTGAGTTCTGTTTGTTCAAGGGCAAAATAAACAAAAACCAATTCATCGTTTATATGTCAAAACCAGCATTAATGTATAATTGTATCATCATTAGAAGTGGCTGAAGCCTTTAGATAATAACATGCACATTTATAAGCAGTTTAATTCTTCTTCGTGATATTAAACGAGGCGAAAACAGACTGCATGAAACCTATGAAATGTAATTGTTTCAATGCAGCAAGCTGGATATCCTTTAACAGCCTTACACGTTTTCATCGCCAAACTAAGATGGAAACCAAATTCGGTGGCTTATTATGTGATACGACACATAATATCAATAAAATCACTTCAATACAATCGACAAAATGTGAAAACCATATTTCCCATCACGTAGCAACGTTGTTTGTAACTCACACAGCTCTAATAAATAACTTAACCTTATTAAAGCACACACCATACTAAAGATAACAATCCGGCGATTGAGAACTTGAGCAAAAACACAAATATATCATTCATTGACAAACAACAGCTCACCTGTTGGTCACACTCCGGGCATGATTTGGTGGCCATTTTCACTTTCTTCACTTTGTTTGTAGACATATTTATATCGACGGGCTTCAATAATATCCCTTGATCTCGGCGATCGTACTGAAAAACTTCCAGCTGCACTAACGCACACAGAGAAGTGCAGCTGATCAGGAGCTCAGACACACACACAAGCCGATGGACCATCAATCGCTCGATACACACTGCGCATGCGCGCTGTAGAGGCTCGCTCGGTCCCTGGCTGCCAGCTCACGTGACCCACAGCTAGCAATGGAAAGATTAGCACTTTTTGTTGTTGTTGTTTTTACACATTCTAAAGTTGAGCACTGTGCGTCAAAAAAGCAGCTTTGAGAGGGAGAACGGCAATAATAAATATTGTGCTGTCCAGATATTTCCTTTATGCATCCAGCACTCAAGGAGCATGCGCACTACAGCACGACAGTCACATGGGTGAAGAACAATAACTGCTGATGTGGGTGAAATAGATATGCTGGTTGAGACACTGCCATCACTTTTTAATATAGCTTGATGAAAACAATTGTTCGATGCGACGAAAACTGTCAATATTGAAAAATCTGACTAATAATTTATAATATCCTCACATGAAATACTTCAATAAATGGCACCATGTGATTAATGTTGTTTTTCTTTTTATGGTTACTTGTATTGTGTAACTGTAAATGCTTGTGCGGAAGTGTGTGAGAGCATTAGATTATAATTGTAATCTGTATGACCTTTTCCTGTACCAAAAGCACTATAATGAAAATTTTTTCCTCACATTGATTTGCAAACTACTCTTGAGGCTGAAACGCCAACCTTAATGGACAGATGATTTTCTGTTTGCTGTAGGCTATAATCAGTCTCTTTTTCATAAGTAATCTTTATGTTCCTGATAGACAACATCTTCAGCTCAGTTATTATAGGCCTGTTAATGTTCTTAGCAGATGTTTTCATATAATTGGCTTACAATGCAATCACATTTCGTGCATGTCTTCTGCTTTGTGCGCTCCAGTTAATGTTTTTGTTCTGTTGTTAAGGACAAAACTCAGCTCCTCATTACCCCACCCCCACCTACTGCTAGACTTTTTTATACTCTTTATATATCTGACAACATGGGATACAATCAAAACATTTGAAAAGTGTCTACAGGAATATGTTTTGTTTGTAATACAATAAAAATGTAAGAGATGATCAGAGGGCTGTTTTTATTTTATAATATAAATACTTAACAACACTAAGCTTAAGCAAAATGAAAAAGACAAAAAATACTCCCATTTTATGCAAATATGTAATTACAGCATCTGCAGATTTTACAGTTCTACCAGTCTGTCCTGTCTGCAGAAAGCATTTCCTTCATCATTATTTTAGTCTCTGTTAGTATTTCTCCAAAACACTGCATGGCATGGACTGCTTTAGTGTTTTAAAATTACAGCAGAGAAGCGGCATTTTGTCCATATCACTTTAAATACTAAAGCCTTCTGTTGAGAGCCTATTGAAAAAGAAAGGAAAATCTTAAAAGAATATTATGTGTGGCTCTGCAGTGCAGACTTCAAGGCTGTTGGTTGCACTCTGGGAATCTCATGTCCTCTTCATATGCTAAACAAGTCATTGTTCAGCACAAGGCTGCTCTTTTAACCTCTCACATGATGACTTAGGCTACTGGTACATAGGGTGTTGATGTTTTCTGAGAAAATTGGAATTTCGATCGGACTGAAAGAGAATCTTGTTTGGGAACAACTGGGAAATCACATAAGTGAAAGCACACACACACACACACACACACACACACACACACACACACACACACACACACACACATACATATATATATATATATATATTATATTATAAGTGAAACTACTCGTATCTACCTGATATCTTATAAAATATCTTATGAATAATAATAAAAAAGCAACATGACAAACAGATGGTATATGGTACCAGTGAGAGGTAGACATTCTAGATAATAATAATAATAATAAACAATACTTATTTATAAGTATAAATAGAGATACAGCCTTGTGTCCAACAGATGGCAGAATTTCATCCAGATCACAGAAACATTTTCATTACTTCAGCCTTTGACTTGAATTTGTGTATACTTTCCAAATAAAACCCACATTAATGCATGTACGAGACATTTTAACGTAGTAGAATACTACGTTTAAAATGAACAAAAACACTATGGTTTATGAACTCGACTGAAACTTTATATGATTTAAAAAATGTTTTTCTTTTAAAAATCGAGTAAATGAAATAACAGATTCTTTCACTTTTTCTTTCATTCAGAAAAATGACCGACTTAAAAAGAACGTTTAAGATGTAGGCTATTGTGTAATATGTTATGACGCTGTCCTCTTCAATGTGATGAAATACAAAAGACGCAGACAAGAAGCTTCCTGTTTTATGGCACTGGGGGGCTGAGGATTAATATGGGACTAAATGTTTTCAAATTTTCTTTATTCGGTTTTTTAAGGTTTAATCTGATACCTATCTCTACCCAGATGTTGAAGAAAATCGTTTAAAAAAACTTTAAAAAAAAACTTTAACAAATTTAAAATGACCAGACATGTCATATCTCATTTGCAGCGGCGGAGTTTAAAGCTTTTTAATCAACGTTAGTTAGAGACTTTTTTTGCACGCCCCTGTGTGCTGATGAAATTTTTGCCGGCTGTGACAACGGGGAAATCTCCGCCCCTCACACGCACCCACCGGCTGCGGTAACTTATACAGCGCTGGGTATTGTAGTTTTATTCTAAGCGCAGCGAATGGTGAAGGTGGATCAAACAGCAGCATGAAAACTACAACCCCCATGACGAAACATGAGCGCGCTGAATGAGAGCATAAAGATAGCCGGGTGGATGAGAGTAGGCGACGATGAGATGATTCTCTGGTGAACGTGGTACAGTTAAGCAATTCATAATGCGGATCGGCCTCGTATAGAAGAAACGTTTTCTGACGTGATTGCGTTTTTTTATTGTCAATTTTATCCTTTGCTTTAACTGGCGGTTAGAAGAACAGTATCTTTACAGTAGCGTCTCTTCACGCGCATCCTCGTTACTTGTTCTCCAGACAGACTCGACTTCCTCACTGAGCAGAAATGTATCGCTTGCAGTCGCTGGCAGCTCGATCACTGATCGCCGGAGCTCTCGATCTCTGTACCCCCTTAACACTGACTTCTCTTACTGGGGTGCGACACAAATCTCAAGGTCCGTCCGTGGAGAAGTGCGGCCAGATGCGCTTCATCACCGCCGAGGCTAAAGCGTCTGCTGGGCGCCTCGACGGGAAGATGCGGGAGAAGACCCTGACTATGGACACACTGAACCCGCAGGTGAAGGCTGTGGAGTACGCCGTGAGAGGACCCATCGTCCTCAAAGCCGGAGAGATCGAGAGATACTTGGAGGAGGTGAGAAATGCTTCAGTGCAGCATCCCAGAGCTACATGTTTGTAAATGTTTATCTTTAGACACTCCAATGAAACAAACACGTCTTTTCATAATAAAATTGTTATTTCTGTTCACAGTTGTAACCAGTGCTAGAATACAGTCAACATTGCTCAGGTAGACACAATAGAAAGTTGCAAACAATAAAGTTAAACATTTTTTATTTTTTATTTTCATTTTTAATTTTCATAGAGTCATAGTCTCAGTATGGGAATTTGTGTTTCTCTTTGGCCACACATCTGACTACTGACATGTTTAGTGATGATTTATGTGAGGCAGAGTAATCTTAAAAATGCGTTCACCAAATATGGTTGTTGAATTAATAGTTTTTTAGCATGCTTCCATTTCTGGAGTTTTGACACTTAACATAATCGCTCAGAGGGTTAAGATGGAAACCGCTCTGGCCATTTACTACACCAGTTATGTTGAAATATTGACATGACATCAAAGCACTTTCATATATAGTTGACAACACTATGTTAAATACAGCAACAACTTCAAGTAGGTTTTGTTTACAAATGCTGCTGGTGGAATTAAATACATGAAAGCTTTTTTAATTAAAAATTGTAAAGAAATTTTAGGATAAAAAATAAATACGTGAATAATTAAAATAGGAAATATTCAAACTTGCTGTAACATTAATTCTACACTAGTTACTGAATAGATGTGAGGACATCCCCTTAGGGATATACTGCTTTTCATGCCAAATGTGTTGGGTTGGAAGTAATATGCAAAACGATCCACCCTGTATGCCTTGTAGTGGCACACCTTTATTATTTTGCCTTCCTTTCTTGTTGTGTCCATGAGGGTTGCTTTGAATAAAGCAGTGCTCAGTCCACTTTCTGACCTACTTGCAGTGCCATTATCAAAGCAATGCGACAAAGTTGCTGATTCCTGTGATGCTGACCATTCAGCAGTAATGTTATCTAACTCTCTTTACCATGACGTAGAAGTATGTTTGAGCTTGCATGCTCAGCAATGACAGATGAGCACTTAGGAAGGGAGCTTTTTTTATAGCCCCTGAACAGGTGCCTTCTCGACCTCTGACAAGGGCATGATCCCCCCCAGACCCTGATGGTCTCCTTATCTCATAACGTGACCTTGATTAACTGCTGAACTTTGTGTTGTCATGCCCTTAGCCTGTGACTAGATGGTACAGAATGTTTGAGGACAACAATGACATAAAATAAATTTTGCTGTCATCGAAAGTGACAGGAAAGTTCTGATTTATGACTGTAGTAGGTCATGAAACGTAGCCTGATTTAAAGAACAAAATGTTCTACAACTTAATTTAACAACCTTAGTTTTATACGAATGTGGCTGTGTAGATACACCTAGTTTTCGTGACCAAACCTAATTGTGCATATTCAGACAAACACCTGCTTTCACTGCAGTACTGGTAGACATAATCTTTTCCCTACAGAACGTGCTTGCGAGGACAGGTCTGTTTGATGTGTACTTTGCAACATGGATTCTGGGCAAGACTTGTGGCATTGTAAAGGGGTTGTTAACATAATAGACACCTCTCTTATTTTCTTAGGGTGGTACGAAACCCTTCTCTGAAGTCATCAAAGCCAACATCGGTGATGCACATGCCATGGGACAACAGCCAATCACCTTCCTCAGACAGGTAACCAAAAATGCACAAATTATTCTTGTCTCATAGTCAACCTTTTAATAAATTTAATATTTTTATTTAAAAGTTATTTTGGTATTAAAATCAGCATAAAAATGTCAAAACTCAATCTTCCAGTGAAACAACAAACATCTCTTATGTGACATATGCTGGACTTCTCCAATCATTTAGTCCACTTAAACACTCCACCCTCAAGCTCACATGCATCCACCACCACTTTTTAAATGTAATGCCCACATCTCAAAATCCAATCAACAGCAATTGCGTAGAACCAAACCCCAGCTCACATTTTTTCTTTTTCAATAATATATTTAACTTGGATGATCATAATACAAAAGAAAAGATCTGTCGTTACTTCAGTATTATCACAACATTAAATGAAGCACATTATTTCCTATTTTTACAGCATGCATATTTGGTTCCCCTGAACTGTTCACTCACTGTGCCACAACACAATGCTTTTTATTATATATGCAATGCTCCTGAAACTACACAACAGATTTTTCAGCTCATTTAGACTGTAAAAACAACATAGAACCTACAAACAAAATCAGTGACCTTTTTAGCATGAACACGTTTATTCAGGTTAATGAGGAGTCCAGTTTGTGCTCACTGTAGAAGGCATGAAAGAAAAGCTGCTTTTGTTGACCACTCACAGTTTTGGAACACACTGCAAATTCCCTTGCAAAGTCTCTTGATTGGCCTAGTTTAGTCAAAGTTGATCCAGCCTTTCATTATGAGCTGAACAAAAGCTTTTGTGATGGCCTGAGACTCTGCAGCTTGTGAAATACATTTTCTTGAGAGCCAACAGAAGACAGCTTTGCATGATAGTCATAGTTTCTGGTCAGTGTGATCATATGATTCTTGAGCTCATGTCATCATTAAGGAAAAGAGAGTCAAAGAAAGCTGCCTTTGACCTGTATGGGTTATTATGGCGTGGAAACTTTGGGAGGGACTGGACTCCACCAGCCATCTGGTCCAGACTCTGTTATATTTAGGAATAAAGTTCCAGCTCAAATTGCTGATTCCCCCCTTCAGTGTGCAAATGAATAATCATTTTGCTTAGAAGTTACAACACAATGCATATAGAAATCAATTGCAGTTTGTTTTGAATAATTATAAAATTGATTGCAAATGGAATTTTAGCATTTAGATTTTAGTGGAAATAAATAGGCAGTAGACGTGCATAGAGACCAATGATCTATATTTGCTCTTAAATCTTTCAAATTGCACTCACTGACTGCAGACAAATAAGAGTGTGTTTTATCTGTGTGTGTTCATTTGTGCAGGTGGTGGCTCTCTGTACATTCCCTGAGCTGATGGACAGCCCCAGTTTCCCAGAGGATGCGAAATGGAGAGCACGGCGTATCCTGCAGGGCTGCGGAGGACACAGTCTCGGTGTGTGCATTTGTTTCTCTGAGGATGTGTGGTTGAAACCGCTTAAGGCCATGATATAATAAGTTTACAGTGTAGCGATTGGAAAGCATCCATGATCCCCTGTTATTGCAGATCATGCAGTTCTCAGGAAGCTGGGAAACAATAGACCTGTATCGTAACACTCAGTTCCATTCAGTGTTGTGCTGCAGTAAGTGCTTTATGAATGCTAACGCATGTGTTTCTGTCACAGGGTCATATAGTGCAAGCCCCGGCGTGGAGTGCATCCGCAAAGACATCGCTGCGTACATAGAGCAAAGAGATGAAGGAGTGCCTTCAGACTGGGAAAACATTTACCTCACCACTGGGGCTAGTGATGGCATTATGGTAAGTCATTGGATGTTTACAATCAAAAAGACTTGACAGCTTACTTGGCCTACATTACCAACAAAACCAAACTTTGTTTTTAAGACTATTCTGCGGCTACTGGTGTCTGGGAAAGATTCTTCTCGGACCGGTGTAATGATCCCCATCCCTCAATACCCGCTTTACTCCGCTGCAATCTCCGAGATGGATGCGGTACAGGTCAACTACTACTTAGATGAGGACAACTGCTGGGCCCTGGACATCAATGAACTTCACAGAGCCTATCAGGCTGCCAAACAGCACTGTCAGCCAAGAGTCATTTGCATCATAAACCCTGGCAACCCTACTGGTTGGTATATTGTAAAGCTATTCTCGTGTGCTAGGAAACGTAATGGCCTTGTGTTTGTTTGGATCCAGTAGCAGGTGTCCTGGAAAGAAGAGCGTGTCCCTTTTAATACCTCATGTTCTTTTTCCAGTCATGATCCCACGTGAGTGGGGACCGATGCTGATGAGATCTAAAATTACTTTCATATGGTTTGTAGGCAATATTCCAAGTCTTCTGCAGCTGATAGCTTTGTGTTGACAAACAAATGTAATCAATTTACTGAAAATTGCATATGGAATGTAAAATATATTAGAATATAGAATATTAAATTCAAATTAGTCGGATACGTTTTGTGGTCTGCCCAAGCTCGTGCTATCCTGTCTCTGGAGTGATGTTTGTTGTGATGGTTCATGGGATGCTGATTAAATCTGGATTGCAGAATGAGTCATCAAAATTGTAAATATATATTATATGTGTTCATGCATCGGTTTGAGAATTACTGTATTAAAATAAGGCATGTCAAGATATGTTGTGCTAGGTTTGATCATGTTGATGTATTTTTGAGTGGTGAATTATGCCTCTAAATTCCAAAAGGGTCTGGCTGCAGCCTGGCACTTGCACTCTCAGACGTGCATTCTCAGGCTTGCACTCTCAGACACTTGCACTTCCGCTAGCGACGTCACTTGCAGTCTTTTTTATTTTTTATTTTGTTCTATTTATTGATTACTTTTTGTTTGAATCTCTCAACATTTTACAACCGTATAGCCAGGTGGGTAATTTTTCTTGTCTTCACCACCTGGCTACTGTTGTAAAATGTTGAGAGATTCAAACAAAAAGTAATCAACAAATAGAACAAAATAAAAAATAATAAAGACTGCAAGTGACGTCGCTAGCGGAAGTGCAAGTGTCTGAGAGTGCAAGCCTGAGAATGCATGTATGAGAGTGCAAGCGCCAAGCTGCAGCCAGACCCTTCTCCTAAATTCTGTGATCTCTCTTCCATCATCCCTGTTTGCTCTTTACAGGTCAGGTCCAGAGTAAAAAATGCATTGAAGAAGTCTTGCACTTTGCATATGAAGAGAATCTCTTTGTTATGTCAGATGAGGTAATCACAATTTCTGCTCTTTTGCATTTACACTTTGGATAAGAAACTAGTTGAGCTGGAAGTGATTTATCTTTAAACATACACTACCATTCAAATGTTTAGGGCCAGTATTTTTTATTTAGCAAGGATGCATTCAATTGACCAAAGTGACAGTAAAGACATTTTGTGTTACAACAAGTTTCTATTTCAAATGCATGCTATTTTTAAACTTTCTATTCACCAAGGAATCCTAAAGAAAGTATCATGGTTTCCACAAAAATGTTAAGCAACAATAATAATAGCAAGAAATGTTTGTGTATTAGAATATTTTTTTTTAAGATAGCTAAAATTCAGTTTTGACAATAGGAATAAATGACATTTTAGATTTACATTTATGCGTTTTGCAGACAGTTTTATCCAAAGTGATTTATATTGGTAGGTCTATGCTTTATCAGTTCATGCATTCCCTGGCAATCAAACCCATACATTTTGAGCTACAGGAATGCTTCTAATTTTAAAATAGAAAATGGTCATTTTAAATTGTAATAACATTAAACAGTTTTAGTGTTTTTATTGTATTTTTCAAATACATGCAGCCTCGATGAGCATAAGACTTCTTTCAAGAACATTAAAAAAACTGTATTGACTAGTAAGTTTTGAACCATAGTTAAGTGTGAAACTGTTCAGAAGAATGTGTGCATCAGTTGCCTAAATCCTGTTCTAATTTAGCACATTGTGACCATTATGCACTAAATGATGATTTGTACTGTTGCTGGCAGGTGTATCAGGACAATGTGTACGCTCCTGACTGTCAGTTCCACTCCTTCAAGAAGGTGCTTTATGAGATGGGTCCCGAGTACTTCAGCAGTGTGGAGCTCGTCTCCTTCCATTCCACTTCCAAAGGCTACACGGGAGAGTGAGTATCCCTATTCTTGAACCTCTGCAGGGGCCAGCATGTGCCTTAACTTGAGATGGCCTCCTTAAGATCAGCTTTCACTGACCCTTCACACACTTTCACACGACAACCACACTATCCTCAAACATTTAGACATCGTCTGGCTTTGTAATTTGCCATTTGAAATAGATGGGATGTAGAAATATCCACCACCTTCAGTCTCAAGCTGGCATTTGTAAGGACATCTCTGAAGTGGCATTCCAGTGAGCGTTGTTGTGTTTATATTTGTTAAAACCCCATTCCTCTAACTGTGTTTGGTTGTTCAAAAGTCCAAACGACTCCTCTGATACTTTGTGGAAAGTGGCCTGACTGGAATTGAGCGTTTCTCTGACAAAACCTCAAATATTTATGTTTTGGCTACTCAACGTGGCAACCTTGTCCTACAGTTCTGAGAACTCATGCGATATGTCCATGTCCTTCCACAGGTGTGGCTTCAGGGGAGGATATATGGAGGTGATCAACATGGATCCTGAGGTCAAGGCCCAGCTGGTCAAGCTTTTATCAGTTCGCCTGTGTCCCCCCTTGGCTGGCCAGGCTGCAATGGATGTGATTGTCAACCCTCCTCAACCAGAAGAGCACACGTTCAAACAGTTCCACCAGGTTAGTCGTTTAGTATCTGGTGGAGTAAAGCACATTGTGTACTGGCACTGACGGTGACTTCATTGTTATGTGGTTTCTAGTATATAAACCTCTAAATGTTACGCATCAGTAACCTGTTATTACATAAACAGCCCTGAAGAGTTTTAATGTTTGGGTTTGACTAGGCGTGATTGTGTTTGTTTGATCTCTTTCAGGAGAAATCATCAGTTCTGGGTGCTTTAGCAGAAAAAGCCAAACTAACTGAGCAGATCCTGAATTCAGTTCCAGGAATCAAGTGTAATCCTGTCCAGGGGTCCATGTACGCCTTCCCTCGAATCTTTATCCCTCCTAAGGCAGTGGAGGAAGCCAAGGCAAGTGCTCCTACTATTTGCTTTTGGTATTGTTATCCTAGCTGTCCGCTAGTTTCCAGGACACTCTAGACTGTTCACAGTGAATTGTGTAAATTTCCTTTCATCACCACTCATGACAAGTGTTATCTGATTAGAAAGGGTGTAACCAGTAGTACTAGTTCAGCACAGTTTGTCCAGTACTCTTACTTGAATTACTAAATCCAACTGTATAACTGTTATGCTGTTTAAGAATGATATAAATGTTAGTTACACTCCTTTTCTGTTTATAAACTTGATAAGAATTGAGTGAATAATTGCTTGCAGAATGGTAATTTGCTACAGTTAGTAACTTTTGTTTCCACTTGAGAAGCCGCTCTTCTATTGGAATGAAGCTTCTCTGTGTTCTGTAACTCAGACAAAGTTGAATGACATCAGGAGAAAGTCAGAAATGCAAAGTCTGAGCTGTCACTGAGGATGTGTCTGTAATTGGGCAGGCTCTAGGAATGCAGCCTGACATGCTTTACTGCCTGAGGTTGCTGGAGGAGACAGGAATCTGCGTTGTTCCCGGGAGTGGCTTTGGGCAGAAAGATAGAACGTATCATTTCAGGTAAACTTTATGATCAAACAAATTCACATTTTATTTGCTATCAGGTGATATCCCCCTCCCCCGTGACTTCCTGGAAGAACATGATTTGAAATCTGCCATATTTGGTCTTGAGCGCTTTTTTTGGTTTATTTGTTTGTTTATGTCCTGAGCTGAAAAAAGCATGTGAATAATATTTGTTGAATGTGCACATGCTTGTCACATTTTGTGGTGGTTTTAAAACAGATAAATGAAATGGCTCACAAAACGGAGAATTATTCCCCTTGCTATTCAAAATATTGTGTGATATCATTGTTTTCGGTGTCCAGTGTTTTTTTTACTTTATATGCCAGTAACTCGTTTATCTGTTAGCATTTTTTTTTTTTAAAGTTTGGTCTGTTTGTCTTTGTTTCAGAATGACAATCCTGCCATCCATAGAAAAGCTGAATGTACTTCTTGGCAAAGTGCGAGATTTCCACATCAGTTTTCTGAAAGAGTACTCCGGTCTGGAGTGGGATGAAATCTGACCTGATTTGCAAAACATAAGCTGGCGAGTCCAGCGTTACTTAACACACTAACTACTCATTTAAACTGTAAAGGTAGTGTTAAGTATTTTTTTTAATTCTAATTTTAGACAATGATTTAATGAAAATGGCTTTTGGTTGAGTTTTACGGAAATATTAGCGATTTAGTCAGATATCTAACACTACTCTTGAATATTTCAGTTATTTCTCACGGTTCATTCGAGAAAATTGGACACGTTGTCATTTTTCTTATGTTATATTTCTCTTTAAATCATCATATCTGCAGTAGGGTGCATGGTAAATAGACACCCTCTATCATGAGACATGAGATTCAGTTACAAACGTTATTTATTAACAACTCTCCAAACCAGTAACTAAATTGTGAAGATTGATGCGTCACTCACTTGAAAATAACTCACTTGAAATTCCTTTGTAGCACCTTATATGAACTATTCAAAACCATTTTGGCTGATGCAAATATATATAAAAATAGTTTTCACTTTGGTGGCTGTGACGAACACTTGTTATGGTTCTGGAATGTTTACAAGGAGGGACTCTTTTAATGTTTATCTTGTCCTCATCCTTGGTTGCACTCATTGCCATGCAATGTACAGAAACATTTTATCTTTCAAAATGACAAGCTTAGTCACAAGTTAAGCTTCTGTGGAAGATTGTGGCTAAGGCGATGATTTGTGTTTTGTTTCCAAGGCCAGTTGAAGATGTGGAATGAAGGAAGCATGTGTGGAGAAAGTGCTGGCTTGTAAATGTTTACTGATGTATTTTATTTCCTCTGGTTTTATGCTGCAAGTTATTTTGAACTATTAAGCAATGCTTTTTGAATCAGTTCTGGGGCCTGTACCATGAAGCTAGCTGAACAAACTCTGGGTTACAGGATTGGTTTCAAGTTCAGAAAACCAAACCAGTCCAATCAGGCTTTATTGATACCATGATGCTGATTATCAACTTCCTCTGTCAGCTCAGACCTTCCTCCTGAATTCATGCATAACTGTAAACGTGCACATGAAATTGTGACCTCAGAAGCAAACAGCCAGTTGCACGCTGTGAAACTGAGATTCACTTTAAGCAGGAATCAGTGTGATTCACTGCTCTCTTCTGCCAAAGATTGGGAGAAAATTATGAATAAAATATTAAATCAGCGCTATGTAACTTTTTCTGTGTTCAAAATTTGCTAAATGTATATAATGAGCGAGTACATCATGAATTCATCTTCCAAACCGCGTTTTTGTCTTATTCCGAATCACTACGGTACACTTATGAGTACTTATATTTGGACTATTGTAGCCTGGTCGGGTCGTCACCGCTGCGGAGTAACACATACCTGCGTGAATCGCCATAGACATAAACTTAGAGAAGTAGCTCCGGTTGGAATGTTCTTCCGCGGGATGTGTGCGGTTCTGTTTATTAACCGCTAGAGAGCCAAAAGTTACATAGTGCTGCTTTCAGACTTTAAACTTACACAGCAAGAATAAAAAGAGTTGTCCTCAAAAGGGGACAACTGAAAGAAAACATCTGGCTATATCATTGAAAGTGAAACGGGTTAATTTGTGTAGTCAATAAAATATATAATTCCACAGCGACTGAAACGTTAAAGCTTTATATAATTACATAAAGCATATAATTTATATTGCATATTTGTATATATTTGTTCATTTATAAACTTGTTACAAGTACAAATGTGTAATAGAGTGAGGGTATAATTATGTACTCAATATATAAATCATAAAATAATTATAAATAATCACTGATTGACTGTTGTGCCAAAGATATCACTTTGCTCACAGCTGATTGGTCCAATTTGGGTTTGAGGTCTCAAAACAAAACCTGTCACAGAGCAGGCGAGCCATGTATCGTAAGTTATGGCGATGAACACTTGTAAAAATCGGCCCACCTTTATGGTACATAAAACCCAGGGATGATGCAAAACAAATGTAAGCTAGCCAGCAAAACTGGCTTCATGGTGCAGCCCCATTCTTTTCAGACAGGCGGTTGTATTTACAAACGAAATATTAGCCATTAAAAGATATTAGTGCCAAAGTTGACTCCATTGTAACTCTCCCCTTCTGACATCTCAACTTTCATATCAAAGCCATTAACAGTGAGTGAATATTGTTAATGCCTTCTTGCATCCTTTGAACTTAATTTTATCACTTCATATGAGGTGCCTTTATTCATGATTGTGAACTTTGTCAAATGAGTTTTCCCTACATGCATTACTAGCTTGTAATATAGAATGTTTACAGACTTTTGGAAATTGGCGCAATGTTACATTGTATATAGAATGTTCAAATTAATATTAAACTTAAGACTGTTAAAGTGCAGTACATCTGTTTTCTTTCTTTTTTTTAACAAGGATAATCACTTTATCCTCGTCTTATGTATTTGTCTTGTTTGCCAAACAAAATATTTTTATTTAGCACTGCATTCAGACGTCAATTCAAAAAATAAAAAAGTACACAAGTAAAATGCTATGTATTGTTAAACCGCTCTGTGTCGATGAAATGCAGTTGCAGACTTTAGTCGATAATGTCATTACAGTTCATGGTTGGGATTTACTGCCCTCTGGTGTTCTTTTTTCTTTTTAGCCAATTGAATTTCTCAATCGCACCTCATTTAAAATCCCCAGAGCCCGTCTCCAACACAGGAAGTTTGAGGTAAAGGCACGTGTTTCCTAAACTGCTCTGCTTTCATAGACAGTGCAGATATGAGCCAGCTTCAGTGACAAATGACCTTTTGGAGTGGGTACATAATGTCATGTACAACCCTACATTACGGTTTGGCACATGGACCCGTCTATAATAAACACAAGGAAAACATTTCAGATCTGTTGGGCTTTAGCACCTAAATCAAGTGAAAACACCTTTTATACAGTGAAATGTTGATCATATTGGATCACCTGATCACCACATTCAATGCTTTAACCTGCATAATTTAATCTGTGAGCTCCACTGCAAATGAAATGCGGGTAAACTGTATTTTAACTAGCTTGGTTTAGATGACAAACGTACTGAATAGTCATCTGGTTCTCATTGAGCAATCCTCAAATGAACTTGAACTTTAAAGTTGGCATGGCACTAAAACTAGTGTCAAAAGTCACAACTACCAACTAATGACTGAAGCACCAAATAAAGCAAAGACTTGGGTTATGTTGAGGAGATATTGAAGGACAGTTTATTCAACTCAAATTTTCACAGAAGATATAGGCCTATAGTAAAGGTGCTTTTTCCTCCACTCATTTTATTACGCATGATGTCACTCTCTTTCAATCAGTGAAGGGACCAAAATGTTCAACATGCACCTGGATTGCTGACAAATATAGGCAATTGATTTTATTTCAACTATTTCAAAACATAAAACACTCAAATGTGACAGCTGCTGATACAAAGCTTAAATGACAATCACTTATTTTATACATGTTATAGTCTCTTGTTCCAATTCTTAAAATTCCAAAAGAAAGGGAAAAAAAAAAAAAAAAATCTACAAATAAAATAAAGTGGTAAAAATAGCGCACAGATACAAACAAATCTAAAAATGGATTGGTGATGAAGTCCCATTTCTATTTTGTTTTTGTTGTTTTAGGATCTCTCAACTCCTCTTCCATTAGGCCACTGCTCTCCCAAAAAAAAAAAAAAAAAGGCTCATGTCCAGGGCCAAAACTGCATTTTATGGTTAGATTTAAACTTGTGAATATTATGACAACAAAAAAAAAAATGCAAGTTACACACAGTACGTAGCAATTACCCTTTTCTCTCTGAAGTGGGGTTGTCTCTAAAGGGCTGCTGGGAGAGGAGGAGGGGCAAGAAAGAGTTACTAGATGCGGGATCATCGGTGCGTTTACTACAAGGGAATCAGGTGGTCAGGAATGGCTGTATGTAATTCTCATCATTTAAGGCAGCCCCGAATCAGATTATAAACACACCTGTTTGTTGTGCAACTAGATCATTTTTTTAATCCCCACTGTTGGAGCCAGACAAGATATTTGCTGTAGTCAGGGTTACTGATGGGCACACTGCACGCCAGGACCGTGATGCCCTCCTTCTTCATCTGAGCTGTCGTTGTACGCCTCACGGCGGTGACCACCAGAGGAGCTCTGGCTTACAAACTCCTGCAATTCCACTTCCTCCGCGTCTCCAGAGATGACGGGTGGATCGGCCCGTGTGGGCAGCAAATCCTCCAATTCCTGAAAAAACAGAAGACACATATTAGGGGAAAGAAAACTTGGAATTGTGCTTTTATAAAAAAAAAAAAAACACTGTTCAAAAGCTTGATTTCAATAAGATTTTTTCAATGTCTTGCTTTTATGCTCAACAAGGCCACACTTGACTAATACAGTAAAAACGGTAATACTGGGAAATATTACAACTTAAAATAACTTTTGTTTAAATGTTTTAAAGTGTAATTTTCCTGCGATGGCAAAGCTGAATTTTCAGCAGCCATTACTCCAGTCTTCAGTGTTCTGTAACAGGGTTTCTGCAGGATTTTTAAGCTCAAATTTAAGACTTAAGACCTTTTTTTAAGACCTGCACAAATAAAATGAATACCATATGAGCGGGGTAGGGCAATGTAGTACCATATTAAACTGTAAAATTACTGTAAAAAGCATAATTTACAGTTCAGATACAAGTTTTCACAAAAACAAAAGTTTTATAAAATGATAGACTTTACATTTCAGCCTTTAAACCATTGTTAAGAAAATGGATGAGTCAAAAGTATTAATTATGATATTAATTTAAACAATTATCATTAAATTATTATATCAATTAAATAACAAATTAGGGGTGTGCGATATTGACAAAAAAATTCTCTCTCGATAATATTCTGGGATTTTATCGATAACGCTAATTAGACGATATTTTGCTGAGTGTGTTATTGTGCTGATATCTTAAGGACTACCGTGGACAGCTGACTCCTAAATTTTTTGATATTCTTCATATTCTGTGTGGTCAGTTCACAGCAGTAATATAAATTAATAATTTCCAACAAGTTTTATGGGCATTTTTACCTTTACCATTTTTTTTCTAAAAGTATGCACCATCTTTTGAGTCAAATTCTTGCATTTGGTTTGTTACCAAGCAAATTAAATCAGTATCAACAAAACTGATCTTTGCAATGCAGAGGAAACACAGAGGCTGCATTAGAAGTGGCATTTAGATGCTTTCACACACTGTTAAATGCAGCTCTGAGGAACATTAAATACTTTAACCTGCAATTACAAATGCATGAATAATGTTTTGATATTTTAAACATAAAACACTGAAAACTGATCGTTTGAAATTATTTAAAAAATGAAAAGGTACCTTAAATGTGAAATTAAAACCACCAGTAGGTGGCAGCAAGTCACTGTTAATAAGTGAGTCATTGTGTTTGAACCGAATCATTTAAACGTGTGATTCATTCAGGAACAAAACAGCATCCTGTTGCTCAGAGACGCGAAACAGCGCTGTGGCTGTGTTTGAAATGATTTTTGCTGGAGAAATAGAGCAAAAACAGGAAATATGGTGTCTAAAACAAGTCTCTTAATATTAACTACTCGTTTATTGAACTGTTGTATAAAATCAATATCACATTTGTAATCATGCTTACTTTGAGGGGGAAAAAAAAAAAACTGCACTCTTCGTGTGATATTACCTATATGAAATGATATAAATATATACATTTTCTGCCCCATATCTTGAATTATGTGATAATTCTAAATGCATTTTAATATACTGATTCATGCAGTAAAAGAACGCACACACAATTGTAATTTTTGGTTGGGTTAACTATAACTTTAATAATTAATTTTATTAAATTTATTATTATTACTATGGAAATATGAAATTATTTATTGAATGAAATGATACTCTAAATAATAAACTAAAACTGCCAGTAGGTGGTGGTAAATGTCTTAATGATTAAGTCATCGAGTTATTTATTCATTCGATTCTCGGAGTCATTTATTCATTCATTTGATTCGTTCAAATGGCTGATTTATTCAGTAGTGAAGTAAATGGTTCTTTATGAATGGTCCATTGAATCATTAGGCTTGTTCGACTTGAAGCGGATCACACCATCAGGCCGATAGGTGTGTGACATCAAAGTACCGCAAGAGCTATAGAGAGCAGATGGCTCCTTATGCTTTTGAATCGCTCTCACGGTACTTTGATGTCATACACCGATCGATCTGTGTAGCGCCGCTTCAAATCCAACGCACCTATGGCCAATGGTTCAACGCGCCAAATGGTTCACCCAATTCATTCATTAAGAAATATAATGTCGCTGCGTGTTGCTCGGCGATGAACACTGCTTTGTCTTTATATTTGGGCTGGCAAAATTTAGCAAAACAGACAACATTGTGTCTAAAATGTTAACGGCGTATTATTGTGCCATCTCAGAGGCACAAAATCACTTTCACAGACTTTCATTAACTGTTCCCTCCTGGTGGAATGACCTGCCCAAATCAATCCGAGCAGCTGAGTCCTTAACCATCTTCAAGAAACGACTAAACACATCTGTTCCACCTTTATTTCAAGATTTTTATTTGTCACATACTTGGGCGGCGTTATGCAAATCTTCCCACATAGTGAGGTAGATATGTGGGGGCGTGTTAGAACGAGCCGTTTTAGGTAGGTGTGGCTGACTCTTAACTTTTATAAAGAATATCTCTTTGGATTTGAGACTTTAGTCTTTGCAACTTTACAGATCTTCTTTATGCACCAACAGCTTGTAACACTCCAACGAGAAAGGAAAAATTGAAATCGCATCATATGACCCCTTTAAGCCATGAAAGTGAATTCTCAAGTATACTTAAGTGGCGTTTTATTTCATTATATTTTAGATTATATTATATTCATTAATATTATATGCCATTATATTAATATTATATTATTTCATTAATATTGCATTAGATTTGAAGTACACTACAAGTGTATAATTCAAAAGAATTAAAGGGATAGTTCTCAGAAACGTATAGCAAGGACATCAGTAAAATAGTCCATGTGACATCAGTGGTACAACCTTAATTTTACAAAACTACGAGAATACTTTTTTGTGCGCAAAGAAATCAAGTTGTGTTGCTGTCTATGGAGGGCCAGAGAGCTCTCGGATTTCATCAAAACTATCTTAATCTGTGATCCGAAGATGAACGAAGGTCTTACAGGTTTGGAACAACACGAGGGTGAGTAATTAATGACAGAATTTTCATTTTTGGGTGAACTAACCCTTTAAATGCATTAATTTTAACACGTTATTTTTTTCCGTAATTTATTAATCTAATTAACACATTAAATTACCAGCCCTAATAATAATAATAATAATCCCAAAATTTTGAACAGTAGTGCATGTATAACATTCTTATAATATTCTTCAATAACTTCAAATGTACAGTTTATCTTACCGACAGCTTCTCTGGGCTTAACCAATTGTTTTCTGGGAACTGCACGTCAAACTTGATGAACAGGTCACCCTTCTCGAAGGGGTTACGGTACTGTGGCATGCCTTCCCCTCTGACAACTCTGACTGAACCTGTAAAGGGACAACACCATTTTTTAAGAACATGTAAAAAATCACTTTAAACTCAGACACTACAAAACTCGTGTCAAGTGGACTCACCTGGCTCAATGACTTTGCCAGCTGGGTATTTCACCACAATCTGTCTACCATCTAAGTGTTTCAATGTGAAATGGAAACCACAAAGTGCTTCAACAAGGCCGATCTTATGGGTCATGGACAAGTCGTTGCCTTCTCTTCTGTATGTCTGTTGAAAGAGTTTAAAAGCTTTAGCTTTATTGAACATATTAGATTACAAACATACAAAAAAAACATAACTGATGCTTCAGTGATATCCCATATCAGTCCAAATCAGACATGACTCTAGCTTTACTTAGAGGCTTGAAAGGGAGGGATTAGAACCTATAAAGCAGCATGTTCATGACACACAGTCACTACAATCTGCTTTACGTTCCTGCAGCAGCTCAGCAGTCAAGAGGCCAGAAGCTCTAAAGCCTGATCATCTGTATGGCTGAACCACAGTGCTACAGAACGAGTTCTTTGTTACTTGCTGGTAATTAAAGGGGTCATATGACGCAATTTCATGTTTTCCTTTGTCTTTGGAGTGTTACAAGCTGTTCGTACATATATAAGATCCGTAAAGTCGCAAAGATTTAAGTCTCAAACCCAAAGAGGTATTTTTTTCTAAAAGTTAAGACTCATCCACACCTTCCTAAAATGCCTCATTCAAACATGTCCCCACAAATCTATATCACTGTGTGGGAAGATTTGCATAACACTGCCCAAATGTATACACAAAGGTGTACCTTTTATCCTCGCTGTAGTATTGTTGCTGCCACCGCCGCAATGGAAGCTAATATTCCAAATATGGTAAGGGGCGTAACATTTCAGTCACATGCTTCAGGTATTCGGCTAATCACTAATCACAACAAAATAATGTGTTTTTGAACTGCTATCCACTAACTCAAAGTTAATCTTTTAAAGTACTAAGTTAAATTATTAAAAAGATACCTCTTGACCCAAAGCTAGGTATTTTGAACATTTATACTCTGAATTTTAGAATGACCAAATATTAATCTATTTTTTATTTTTTTTTTGCTGGAGGCAAATCACTTAAAGGGGTCATATGATGTTGCTAAAAAGAACATTACTTTGTGTATTTGGTGTAATGCAATGTGTTTATGTGGTTTAAGGTTCAAAAAATATTTTCCGCATACTGTACATTATTATTGCTCCTCTATGCCCCGCCTTTCTGAGTTTAAGGTTAAAAAAACACATTATTTTCCGCATACTGTACATTATTATTGCTCCTCTATGCCCCGCCTTTCTGAAATGCATCGATTTTTACAAAGCTAATCGTTCTGAAAAGCAAGGTGTACTCTGATTGGCCAGCTATCTAGTGCATTGTGATTGGTGAGGCATTTGTTGCATCCAGTGGGGACATAATTACTGATTATAATGACTTATACTGTCTTTTTATGCGTTGCATCGCGCCGCGTAAACATAAAACCATGTCTGCATTTGTGATCGGAGAAATGACAAACAACAAGTGCTACTCTATACTGCTCAAAACTTGCGTTTGAATTGTCAGTGGCAAATTCTTTTAATATGAAAACGTACTTGCAGACTGTGAGTCAGAAGTGCCAGACTGTCCTTGCAAAGTTGGAACTGCCCCACTTTATAGAAACAGCCTTTGTGTGTAGACGGCATTGTAGGCTACTTTCCCAGGTTCAGGAAACAAACACACATCTGAATATTTGGATTGAACTGTTCTGGAACAGTGTTGTAAATACAACTTAACCACTGATTTCTAGTTGTGTCCTCTTTTGGAAGGCCAAACAAAGTAGTTTTGGTTTCACAACGAAACACACAGAGTCTCCACGACATGGCGGCGGCGGCAACAATACTACAGTGAGAATCAAAGTTACGCCTTCTTTCTTTGTGTAAACATTTGGGCGGTGTTATGCAAATCTTCCCACACAGTGACGTAGACATGTGGGGGGCGTTTAAACGAGGCATTTTAGGAGGGCGTGGTCGAGTCTTAACTTTTATAAAGAATATCTCTTTGGGTTTTAGACTTTAGTCTTTGCAACTTTAGGGATCTTATCTATTCACGAACAACTTGTAACACTCCAAAGAGAAAGAAAAACTTGAAATCGCATTATATGACCCCTTTAATTGCCTGTTTTCAGAAGAAAAAAAAAAAAGTCTTGGGGTTTCTCAATGGAAAAAAAAAGGTATTGTCTTGCCTTTAATTTTTCATTAAAAAAAAAACAGAGCATATAAACAAAGAGGCTGTTACTTTACTTGTACATGGAGGTACAAGCATTTTTCTCTATTGTTATTGTTAATGTACTTTCCTTAAAATGTGACAGTTACAATAATAATAAATGAAAATTAAACATCAAAATGAATGTTAATGTTTCGCTTTTTAACTTGGACAAAATAAATGTATAAATACTAACCAGTATTAGGCCAGTTTGAGGCTTTAATCTAGTTTAGGAAATGAAAATGAAAAAAAAAAGAAAAAAAAAAAAAAAAGAAAAAAAAAAAACCCTGTTCACTTAATCTTGGGAGTTTCTGATCGAACTAAAACATCGCTATCATAATTTCTGAACTTGACAGTGAACATTAACATACCTCATGCTCCTTTCCCTGCAGGACCAGGACAATGTCTCCAGGTTCTACTCCAGGTGCCTGGTCTGCCTCCCCGCCGAAGGTGATCTTCTGTCCGTGCTTCATACCTTTATCCACATGCACTTCCAGAATCTTCACCTCTTTAATCACCTTCTTCCCCTCACATTTTTTGCAGCGGTCCTTCTCACTGATCACCTCACCTGGATCATAAACAAACCATCAACAAACCTTTCCTCCACATGAACTCAGTAAATGTCAAAGTACATTCAGACTGGAGCCCCTTACCTTCACCATTACAATCAGTGCACACTGATTGCATCTGTTGGACCATGCCAGGAGCCAGTTGTCTGATCATAATGCGCATACCACGCCCCCTGCAGGCTGTGCACTTCTGGACTGCACCAGACTTCCCGCCTTGACTGGAGAGACAGCGAAACGGTTTCAGTTTCACCAATACTTGAGCACATACAGACTTAAGCAAGGGGAAGTTTCAAACTCTTTAGCTCAGACTAGGGCTGGGCGATATGGCCAAAAATGATCACAATATTTTTTTTTTTATATCAGTCGATAACGATAATTATCACGATAAATGTAAAATTTGTATTTCTTTCAAGTTTAAAGGTTTCTTTCTCTGTGGGTCTCTGGAATTGTCAGTCAGCTGTCAACAAAGCAGACTTCATTTCGGCTTTTTCTTTGCAATCCACACTCAGCATCTTGGGCTTGACTGAGACCTGGATTCGTCCAGTAGACTCAGCAACCCCAGCTGCTCTAGCTAACAATTTTTCTTTCTCTCTTTCTCTCACACCCCCGGCAGGTTGGCCGGCGTGGGGGCACTGGTCTGCTCATTTCTAACAATTGCAAATACTCAACCCACTCTCCCCTGTGCAATTATAACTCATTTGAATCTCATGCGATTACTGTAACAGCTCCTGTAAAACTCCAGGTTGTGGTAATTTACCGCCCTCCTGGGCAAATTCTAGCCACCTTCCTAGAGGAGCTGGATGGGCTGCTTTCCTCATTTCCCGAGGATGGCAGTCCACTTTTACTCTATGGCGACTTCAACATTCATCTGGACAAGACTTATGCCACAGACTTTCATTCACTCCTTGCTTCATTTGATCTCAAACGGCTTACCACTACAAGCACGCACAAATCAGGCAACCAACTTGACTTAAATTTACACACGCAATTGTATTGCAGACAACATTTTGGTAAAACCCCTTCATATCTCTGACCATTTCTTCATTACATTAAAACTACATTTTGCTACCTGTGTGCCACCAACCCCTATGCCGGTTACTTTTAGACGAAGCCTATGCTCCCTTTCCCCCTCCCATCTTTCCTCCGTTGTATCCTCCTCTCTTCCCTCACCTAC